CTTTTTACGTCTCTTATATAGCTTTTTTCGCTGAAAATATTGTTAGTAACCGAGAGGGAAAAAAACAAAAAAAAAAACATGATCAAAACACTTCTTGCTTGTGGAAAAATTTATACCACGATTAGTAATGAATGCTGCTAAAGGATAATCATATGGGGAATACAGGATTTTATTAATAAGATGGGAACAAGAAATACACATGGGGATTGTTAAATGATGGTAATATTTATGAGTTTGAGTGTATAAATTATTATTGTATCTATCTATCTATCTATTTATCGTTATCTATTGTATATCTATATATCTATGTATCTATACATTTATCAATATATACAGATTGATAGATGGATGGATCTATTGATTGGTAGATATAGATAGAGATAGAGAGAGGGAGAAAGAGAAAGATATGGAGTGATGGTAATGGAAGAGGCACACTTATTTCAACTAAGTTATTATTATTATTTTTTTCTTTTTCTTTTAAATTCAATGTCTACCATAACTATTAAACCTTGCGTTTCTTTCCCTCATGAATTATCTCTTCACCTACAAACAAACACACCCACACATGCATGTATGCATACAAACATACATATGTATACATGTGCACACGTACTTATATATGTATAGTCACATCTGTATTTGTGTGAATTGAAAGGCAACGAGTTTGTTTTGCAAACGTGTGTGAAAATAAACAAAACACACATACGTATAAAAACAGGAAAAAAAAAACCATTGCATTGCAGTAGGCTACAGAAGGGAAGGGGCCGTATATAAAGAAAGAGAGAGGGAGAGGGAGATCAATAGAAAAACAACACACACATACACACAAAAGGAGAAATACGGACACAAAGAGAAAACGGAAAAGAAAAAGAAACAAAAGCAGAGAAAGAGAGGGATAGAGGAATATACATATATATATATATAGAGAGAGAGAGAGAGAGAGAGGACAAACTGTAGTGAGGATTATCTTGGTACCAATCAATCACAATGGGTGCAGTGCCGAGCCGTGAGTCTCTGCAGCGTGGTCTCTGCCCAATCCCAAACTACGGACAGCGACAACAAATTATTTTAATTCCCCTCACAAAAGAGTTTTTTCCATCGGCCGATTGTCCACTGATGGAACAGTTCTGCGAGGCCAGAAATGACCCATTCGTGCGTTACTACCACTGCTATGGGGAGGACCTCACACCCAATTCCAACAATCATGATAATAATAATAATGATAATAACAAGAAGAAGAAGAAGGACGAGAAGAAGAAAGAAGATTGTGAGTGTGCGATGGATGAATGGTCTGCGGAGACGTTCCCATCATCTACATGCACACCGGCGGCACTCTACGATGCGTATGTCTGCCGTGCGGGTGAGTCGCAGCTCTTCGATACGGATCAGGCCATGTTCACATCTTATGCAGAGAACCCACAGCAACTGCGGCCCATCCCATGTGCTGTTGCCTTTGCCTATCATCCTGGAGGTACTCCTCATTCCACTACTACTACTACAGGGCCGGTGTTGGGATGTGGGAATAATAACACACAGGATAATCACGAGGATGGAGATATACCGCATGGAGTGGCTGGTGATGATGGGGAGGGGAGTGTGCGTAGTGTGGGGGCAGCACAGGAGAATCATCCCTCTTCTTCTTCCACACATGCTGTTGTGCATAATGGTTCTGTGGTGCGGGGATGTGTGGATGTGTGTGGCTGGCGGGTACATGTAGTGGGTTTCTTTGGGGATGTGAGTGCTCTCCACCCGGCGAGTCCAACAACTACTACTACTACACCTACTAGGAACAATAATAATAATAACAACAACATTAATGAATCTGTGATGCGACTGCAGATGTTTATTAGTAAATCTGTAGGGGATCACAACTGCATGCATGTACTCTACGCCGCACTTTACACCTACGTTATACAGTGGCGAGAGGCCGCAATGAACGCTCTGAGAGAGTGTAGATCTCTCTCAGAGACCATCACACAGGAAGAAAGTTCTCCAACTTCCTTATCGGATACAGCTGTTACACTTAAAACACTAAATGAGATTGAGATTGAGAATGAGAATGAGAATAATAATAATGATGATGATGATGATGATGAAATGACATGGCCACCATTGTGTGATGTAATTACAACCTGCCGACGGAGTAATGTTCCTATGTTGTGTTTCCAACGTAGTGTTCGTGCTATGTTTATGGGCATGGGTATTGTCTCTGAGGATGTGCGGAATACTTCCCTTAGTGAGATGGATAATGTCTCAACATCCTTAGAGGCAAATAACACCACCACACTCCATGAACAGAGTGCCGTATCCAAATCTGCCCCACTGGGAATATCTCGTAGTGATGGAAGTGAGGAAGAAACAAGAGTTCATTACAACACAACAGATGGAGGTGCTCTTGAAGAGAAGTTTATGACCATGTGGCTTGAAGATAATATTCTCTTTGCACGTATTCCGGAAGAGGTTGCAAGTTCTGCGGTTCACTACGTTGTAGATTGCATCTCTCGCAATGAACACCCATTAGGTGTATTGCAAACCAAACTCTCCCAACATCCTTCTCCTCCTCCTCTCGTAGGATCATATGAAATAGGTATACGTCAATCGACATCCCATGCAGAGAATGGGAACTCTAGTCATAGTTCTAATATTAATAATACTACTACTACTGCTACTACCATTACTACTAATACTAGTATGGGTTTAACAGGGAATGATATTGTGAATGAGCGGGCCTTTAAGGTGGTAAAAGGAACATGTACGGTTCGTATTGCTGTTCCACAATTCCCAGATGAGTTAGTGGTTGTGGAATCATGGCCAGAAGAAGGTATTAGTGTATCTGAACTCAAAGCATTAGCCTGTAAACATATGAATACACATCTTTACTGGGTAGTGGGGGTCTCTGAGGCGGCACAGCGAACGGCGGCGGCCACATTTGCTGCATGGAAGTCCAATGAAATGCCTATTGAAATAAGTAACACACATACCGAGTCCATTGTGAAAACAACTGACTCTATCACATCAACAACGATGATAATGACGATGTCTGTTGGGGAATCACTACATCTTGTGGCATTTTCATCCAAGACGGAAGAACAGAATCCAAGATGCCCATCTTCATCACCAACCACCAACCCTCAACACAAACCCAAACAAAATAAAGAAAAGGAAGAAGAAGAAGAACAACAACAACAACATCAAAAACAACAACAAGAGGGGATATTAGAACGTGGCCGGTTTCCACTGGAGGAACTCCTCTTAGCGGAACTTCGCAACACAAGCAAACAGGCCCGTGAGGCGGATGTACACGCTCCTAATTGGGTACGCTGCAGTGATAAAGCGAGAACACACGCCGGCGTACAGGTGCCAACACCACCAGCGGATTCCACAGATATTTCAGAAACGCAGGCATTTATGGCGGCTGTGGCCCAACTTGTTGGGGATGGCCCGTTGTGTCTATGGCGAGTTCCACTCACTACTGGGGCTGTGCGTGTGATTGCCGTTACACCAAAGTTTGTGCGACCAACGCGGAAGAAGCGGATACGGCGAAGACCCGCACATCAACGTACACATAATAATACTACTACTAATACTACCAATAATAATACTACTAATAATAATACTAATAATAATAATACTAATAATACTAATACTAATACTAATCATAGTAATAGTAATAAGAAGAAGAATGATGATAATACATTGTTTACAACAATGGATAGGATGGACGCAGCACAGGAATTAAGTTTGATCAGGGAACATGCTATTAAGGAACAAATAAGACATATACCATCACCACCTTTGTCACACCAACAAAATCTTCATATCCGAGTAAAAAGTGATCATATCCATTCAGGTTTCACTGCACCATTTTTGGGATTAAGTATGAAAGCAAAAAATGCGTTCCCCACTCCCACTTTTGGGGATAATCTGACTGAACAACAATCCAACGATGCCACAGGAGGTGATTATCATAAGCGTAGTTTAACACAGGTATCTTGCGTCTCTTCCACTTTTTCCTCTCATGCACCTCCGTGGGATGGAACGGTGAACTTTTGGCCTTCATCAGGGACGAATGATCAAATGTGTTTTTCACCAACCACACTCCCCTGTCCAACGGGCAACTTATCTTTATCCCCACAACAACTTAGGATACAACCCTTTGAAAATACAATGGATCACCGTATCAATGGTGTATTCTGTTTGGGTGATCAAAGCCTTAGCAGTCACTTTGACATGGGAAGTCCTTCTCACGCTAATGGTGGATTTAATGATTTTAATGCATTTTTAATTTCTTCGAGAAGTGGAACTCCCTCAGAACGTGATGGACGCGCTAATGGAGCTATTAACGTTACGGTTCATCATGGAAGACCACACTACCGTACTCCAAGTTCAATTAATTTTAGCGATACCGCAAGTAACCATGATGGTAGTACCGCAAAAGGACATACAACAACAAATACGACAAAGCCTCAATCTTTATATGGCGATACATTTCGTCTTGATTGGAGAAGATCTAAACAACAAGATGATTGAGAAGTCTTGTATCGGATTTATTATTGCTTTGGGTTATACCCACTTGTGCTTAGTTGCTTTGAATGTGCATGTTAACATTCACAGGAATATATAGTATATATATATATATAAGATGTAAGATGTTAAATTACCTACTGTAGTATAGTATCTTTTTACCTCAATAAACATTTGACATTTGACAATTTTTTTTCTTTTTCTTTTATTTTTTTCTTTTTCTTTTTATTTTTATTTTATTTTTTTGGAATAACACTGGAGGGGCTTCCAGTGAGCGTAAATACAGGAAGAAAGAGAAAAAAAAGAAAAACCGTTGAAGAGAAAACAAAAAAAAAGGTGACTCTGAAGGCATAGTAAGACATCCTGGACGTTTTTTTCTTCTTTAACACATTACAATACATAAACTTAGACACTGGCACACACACATACATACATACACAGTGCCAAAATAATATATATATATAGGTATATATTGGACGGTAGAGTAAGAAGGAAGAGAGTGTACTTTTTCTCGTAACAGCAACAACAACAACAGAAAGAAAAAAACAAACAAACGGGAAATAGTCTTTCTCATTACTGTACTTTACGATACAAACGTTTTGATCACTTGGTTACACTCGCAAGGCATATCAGGGCGAAGAAAGTTAGCGGCAAGAAGAACATAGATAATAACATATTAGGAGCCTATTTTCTCACTTGAAGTCTCAGAGGAGTCAGATCATAATTTTTTAAAAATACACTGACTCATCCTCACTCCCAAAACAAACACAAAAAAAGAACACAACAAAGTAAACCAAATAAAATTGTGCACATTATATATTTAGATTCATAAATAAAATACAAAGCCAACCCAAAGTAATAATAAAAGAAAAAAAAAAGATAAGGTAATTCTACAGATTCTCTTGAAATATTAGTGACTAAAAGTATGGGTGCTGTACCGAGTCGAGAGACCCATAAACGAGGATTGTTTGTACTTCAAACACCTCAATCTGCTGCTTATGGGGGTAGCAAAAAGCAAGGTATTGTATTAATTCCTCTAACCAAGGAATTTTTTCCATCACCTGATTGTCCATTATTTATGCAGTTCCATAAGGCTCGCTGTGATGCAGGGGTAAACTACTACTTCCGCTCTCCTGGAAACCCTGGTGATTTAAGTAGAATACCTGATACTGGAAATGATGAAAATGAGTCCTCTTATCCCTCACGGGAGACACTATACCGTGGTGTTGTGGAGCGTGTGGAGGAGATGCTATTCGACACAGATGAGGAAATGCGTCAGGCACATGAGTGTATTCTGGAATCCCCTCCATTAGAATCAAGTAATGTGAGGAAACGAGTATTACCTATTTTATGCGCGGTGGCGTTTCGTTATGATCCTGCTAAATTATCACAACATAGCAATAACCAAAGTGGTAGCAATTTTCCACATTTACAGGCTGCTATAGAGCAAGGAGTTCTTCTTTGTGGTTCTATTGTGAACATTGTAGGGTGTTTTGGGTTTGTGCCGATGGAAGAAGAGGGAGCAAAGGTTGCGGCTGCTGCTGCTGTTGCGGCTGCTGCTGCGGTTGGTCAAAGTAACACTATGAGTGGAGGAAATCAAACATATCATTCTGTAAAATCACTTTTAATACCCTCATCACGGGATGGATCGCTTCTCTCTGGTCCTCACAGTTCACTACGATCTCCTCCATTGACCTCCCCACTGCAATCTTTACGCGGACAACATGAGGATCCCAATGTTCGTTCTGCACACCATCCGCGCTTTGCGAATCGGCATACAGCATCACGTGGATCTTCCTTTGCATCAACACCCTCTTACGATCCTCATCTACCGCGTCCACAGACTACACTTGGAGGAACAGGAACAAATATTTATTTACAAGGAGTAGGTGGGGAAAACTATGATCATTTCGCTTCACTTCCTCCTCCTGTGGCAGCTCCACTTGCAGCTATTGTTTTTCTTACAAAATCTGCAGGAGAACAAAATCTCAGTCGGGTAACTTTTATAGCGGCATGTACTTATTATAATCAGTTAATTGATGCTGGGGTGATAGAACGTCCTCCGACACAAGTAACTCACTCACCCTATTGTCCTAAAGGATATATGCCACCTCTGGATACCTTTAGTTTCTCTTCTCTTATGACGAATGTTCCTATTCTCTCCTTTGTATATGAGATGCGCTGCCGATGGGAACACCTTGGGCTTCTATCTAACCCTACTAGTGGGCAACACTCACGAACAAGCTCATTAAACAGTTCTTCTTTTCCCCCAGCTGTTGGTACTACTATTCCTCCTGCACATGCACTCCCCATGGATATGGAAATGTGGATTACGGATGATACTATGTTTCATGGTCGTATTGGAAAAGGATTGGCAGAACGTCTCTGTTATTCTCTTGCTGAACGACCAGAAGTTCTTGCACGGCGTGTAGAGCCACCATCAAGTGATGGTTCATTCTGGCGTTTCCGTGGTCTTGTGGACCGTAATCATCCCCCACCACTTCCCCTTAGTGAAGGTGGTGAAACCCCTGTGGATGAGTCAGATGTATATATCATGGGTGCTGTTGTGATGGAGGGATTCGACGAGGGCGATGTGCTGCGCTTTGACAGCGAACGTCATGTGTGGATGGCGGACCGCAGTATTCCACTGGATGCCGTGATACTTGCGGCGATGCGACCACACTGCAAAGCGGCACGTGAGGCCCCACCAGATGATCCTGGTTGGGTAACTGTGGAAGCGCAAACATCAACACAAAAGAAGAAAGAGGAAGAGGAAGAGGAAGAAGAACAAGAAGAACAAGAAGAGGAAGACGAGGAACGTAATAATAATGATAATGATGATGATGACGAGGAGAAGGAGGAGGAGGAGGGGGAGGAAAGAGAGGGCGGCAGTGGAAGCATGCAAATAAGAGGAAAAAAAGAAAAACGTATTCATGTGCGGAAAGGAAATTTTTATATCTACCGATTTCAATTAAATGGAAAGGAATATTACCACGGTACAGTGCCAGACTTTGCGAACCCTAATAAGAAAGGAGCCCAACAATCACTAATTTCATCCTATACTCCAGATAAAAGTACTGGAAATTCTAAAGGGGGAAATTCTAATGATGAGAACTGTTTAAAAGAGGGTCTACAAAATGACGAAGGTACAAAAAAGGAAACGACAAAATCTGGAGGAGGACTTCCTTCTATTACCTCTGCTCTCTTTTCTCTCGTTCCTGATAACTCGGCTACAAATGATACTAAAAATGGTGTGACGTACGTACCCAATCGAGTTAAATCAGCAGCTGTCGATACAGCAAGGCGATGGATGGGAACATTATATAACTATGCAATGGGATCTCGACAGACAGATACAACATCTCCAGTGGGTAATAATAATACAGTTCCTGTGATGGCACCAGCCTCACGCTCACCACAGAATCCAACCTCACCCGGTATTTCAACACCTGTAGCGAGACGTCAACCAACTTTTGTGCAGGTTGGGCAAGCTGCAACAGCAGAGAACGCATCGGGTCAAGAAGAAGGTAATAAAAGAACTGGATTAGTTAAGCGATTTATTCATGAAACTCAATTTGTGTGGGACTGGCGTCGCTCCTAGAAAGACGAAGAATAATTTTGTTTCTGCTTTTTTTTTCTATATATAATGTTTTTTTTTTTTTTTTTGCACATATATGCTTTAACTGAATACAAATTATCTATTATTTATCTATTGCTTGCTTCTTAGTGGACAGAGATGGAAAGAAATGGAAGTACCACTTCTCCTTTAATGCTTTTCAGGGTATTTAAAGAGATCGTATTATTAGAGATCGTGCTTGATAGCGGTGTTCTTCTTTTTTTTTTTGTCTCCCTTCGTGCTGTCCATGAATTTATTTTAATAATCTTTTTTCCCAAGTGAATCACTTTCAGTTTGAGGAGAACCAGATTGAATTGACGATACTGGAATAAAAATTGACAAATTGCTTTCCTTCATCTTGACAAATCTATCAATATGCTTCTTTTTATTTTTATTTTATCTTTTTATTTTTCTTTCTTTCTTGTAGGTTGTCTTTGGGGGGTTTCTTTAGGGGCCAGCGTTTCTCTCCTCTCTCTCTCTCTGTGTATTTGTCTGCAACTATGGCTGAAGTACCAGGGGCCATTCCCATTCTTGGAGAGATTGTTGAGCGAACAGTTGTGGAAGGCACAGATGTTATGGTTGATGCTACTTCCAACAGCAGGAATAACACAGGCGGTTATTCTTCACTTCGTCCTATTCAGGCCACAGTTGGAAGGGCTTTTCCATCACCGCACCCCAACCGTTTTTACGGTCAGCAGAAGAAGAATGGACATTCTCAACAAGTGAAGGAAACTATTTCTATAAATACTACTAGTACTACTACTATAACCAGTGCTGCTGCTGGTGGTAGTGTTAATGATTCTGTTGGATTTACTGCTCATGTGCAGCCGATACCAAATAATAGTGAAAATTCTACAGGGATGGGTTTAGGCGAATGTACTGGAGTTATGACTTCAATGGTGCATCAACATCAATGGGAACCAAAGGAATTTGATGATTTGGAAAGAGGTTACTACACTGTTCCACTTGCTTCTAGTGTGAGTGAGACTTCAACTACACAAAATCTCTCTAATGTGATTCAAGGTGAAGCTTACGTGGAGCTACTTCTTAAATTTCTTCGCAGTACCGTTCGCAAGCATCGAGAGTGTGCTACAACCGCTTTAAGAGCACGACTCTTGATAGACCCAAAATTAAGAGAACGCTGTGCGTTTGGTCCTGGTTGCGCACAGTTGGTGCGTCTCATCATCACAGAAATATCTGCTGGACATATTGTTCCATGTACAATGGCTGCGGAATGCCTTATTTTACTCTTTTACGATGCCGCTGGAGAAATAACGGAGGCCGTTGGTGAGATTGGTACACCTCCAACAGATGCCTCTACCACAACTAGTACTGCTCCTACTGGTGTTGCATCCACATCTGAAAACGATAAAGATATTCGATATGATGAGTCTTCCTTTGCAGAGCTTTCGGAATGGATGCGGAGTGGTGAAGAGAGGGCGAGAGCACTGGAACAATTAGGATTAACAGGTGTTGTGATAGACGCACTGCCGTTACTTCCCCCGCAGCTTGCCGCCCGTCTTTTGCTTGGTAGTGGAGTACTTCTGTTGCCATCTGTGGCTATTCGTGTAGCGTCAGATCCACGTTTTGCACACTTTGTAAATGAACGAATGGGAAGTGTGGTGCTTGGAAAGATAAGACTTGAGGAAGTAACAGAGGAATTACTGCTACTGCGTCGTATTTTACATATAAGAGAAGCATGTACGGCTTTGCTTCCGTTACTACATGAGACATTTGTACTCTTTCTCCGTTATGTGTGTGCTGTGCCTGTTTCGGAGATTCACTCTATTTCTGAAGTGATTGCTTGCCTTTCGGCATTCCTTATACTTCGAGCTTTGATGCGACAAGGTCTTTTTGGTGTTTTCTATGATATCAGTGATGCACTTTTGCCTTCTAAAGGAGTAGGGGTATGTATTCCAGCTGAGATGTGGCTTCTCATGACGGCTGGTACTCATTATGATGATGATAATGATGATGATAATCGTAATAGTAATAGTAATAATACTGGATCAACACAACACATGTCATCATCACAAACTATGACGAGATTTGGTGGGGAATTAGCCCGTGATGCGATCTCTGCTATTTCGACGCACATTGAAGTTGTTGAGAGATGTGTAGTGGATGAGGCTTCAGTAGGGAATTGTGCCTCATTACTTACCGCATTGACATCTATGCATTACTTAGCAACCTATTTCACTGTTTATGGAGGTTTAGAAGAGGTAATGATATTACTTGGATCGGCAACAGAGACAAAGCGTACTGTACAACAGCTGATGGCGAAGAGTGTTCTCACATCAGAAGGTTTGCAACGTGCTTTTATTCGATTAAGCAATAATCAAAATAGGAACTTATCTTCTTCTCCCTCTTCTAATACTATTACTACTACTACTACTACTACTACTAATATACAGTATTGCGGTGTACTTGAGACTAAGGCCTTTCAAGAGTCTTGCTGGGCTTCACTAACACATGCTCGAGTTCGTCTGGCTGCAGCAGTGGGATCAGATCTCACCTTCTTTGGAACGGAGTGTGATGCCATAATGGGTTATCTTGCTGCTTTGGCTCTTAGTTTCGAAGATAAATGCATGCATCTCAGACAAGTAATTGGTCATCTCCTTCCAGATGAATTATGTACAATGATTGAGATTGTTCAGTTTATGCATCAACAGGCACATACCGTATCGGATGGAAAAGAGCAGAGATACAAACGTGAGGCATATATTGCAGAAATATTCGTCTTGCATAGTATCGCATTAACGAAACACGGTATGGACGCTGCTAGTAAAATCATAAAGTCTATTCTTGGAATTCCTGATAATGTCGATCTAAGTATGGATCAAGCACAAACACAAACACCACTAGCAACAACAACAACAACAACAACAACAACAACAACAACAAAAGAAAAAGAAGAAACATTCATATCACCATATCTAGTTGAATTAGGGATGAGTTTATGCCGTGCGGTGGTACAAAGTCAATGGCCATGGTTTCTTTTTCCACTTTATGATGAGGAGTTTATCAACAAGTCCGCATGGAGTGCTTGGCTACAGAGGACCCTTGGAGTACATCAACGTATGAAATATCTCTTACAATGGGATTTGATTCTATGCCACCTGCTAAAATGGGGAGTTTCACATCGTGAGATAGTGCGGGATTGGCAAAATCCTTCAAAAAATAATAATAATAATAATAATAATAATAATAATAATAATAATAATAATAATAATAATAATAACGATAAGAACGCCATGAGAGATGATAACGATCACTATGCTCTTTTAAATCTCTTGGAAACCTTATACGCTGGGGTATTACCACAGGCAGGCGTGGGCCTCAGTGCCTCTGCCTCCGAGACACTAAAGGCTCTCACGGCCTACGCCTCTCCACATGCGGAGGAGTCCATGACTCAATCTCTCTTTGAGGCCTTAACCATCACGGCCACAGCCGCTGATCCATCAGTAGTAGTTGCCATTGTTCGACTACTTTCTCATACAATTCTTGAAGGAAATGCGTATTCATGTAGTGAAATTCATTTGGATACTTCTGAGGTGCAATCATCTTTTAGAGGTGAGGGACTATTGAAACGATGGGCGGCAACAGGACGTTTGAGTGATGCCGCACCTAAACGAGGTGTTGTAGAGTGGGATTTGGAAAATTTTGTGGAGTTACTCTTATTATTACAATCACAGGAAATGATAACAATGCCGTGTGATGACTCTACTGTGTGTATAGAGAATGGGAATGCTATTTCAATGCTGCGACTGTTGGTGGAGGGAATTGCGGTGGAGTATTTGCAACAACACCAGCCACTCTCTGCGTTTGAGCGTGAGGTGTTAACGCAAACAAGGGAGGAGGCATCATGGTGGCCGGCGTGCTTGTGTGAGGAGAATCTTGGTGGATCCCACTGTATTTCACACTGAGGAATAATAATAATAAAAAAAGGAAAAAAAAAAAACAGAAAAGAAGAAAAGGAAAGAAATAACAAACAAGAAAAGAGAGAGAGAGAGAGAGAGATGGTGGGGAGAGAAATAAAGGAGACTTTCAAGACTTTTATGATTTGAATGAGAGGTAGAAAGCGAAAGAAACAAAAAAAAAAAAAGAAAGGAAAAAAATTATGCCTTATTATCCTTTTGGTTCTTATATTCCGGAATTTCTTTCTTTCCTTTTCTTTTTCTTTCACTATCTATTATGAATCCTATTAAATAGGAATACAATGTGTGTATGTGGTTTATTTCGTCCTGTAAAAGCATTACGGTTTGTGTGGAAGCAAAGTTACAAGGATCTTCTTCCCCCTGTTACTATCCCTACTTATGTATGTGGACAACGACGTCTGCCCAACACTAGTGTAGGCAAAATCAACAGTAAAAGCAGCAGCAGTAATACTAATAATAATAATAATAATAATAATAATAATAATCATCATCATCATAATAACAGTAGTGGTGTACCAGTGGTAGTGGAGAGTCCATCTGATGCTGCTGGGATTCTTACATTTTTAACGGATTCAACTGAAGCAGCAGTTTCTTCACTGCATGATGTTGCACAATCAACACACAAACTCTCCTACACAGACCGGTGCTGTGTGCTTGACAATTTATCTACATTACTAACTGAAAATTCAGAACTACTTGCCTCATCAGAAGCACTGGTCACTGGAATGTGCTTGCGTGATGCACGGCGTTCCATTCAAGACGCTGTGAAATTTATCGTATCTTGTAGACAACGTTTACAAACACATAAAATGATATCAAATAATACAGATGTTGATATAGCGTACGTAGATGATGTACTCTGCACGCTTGGATATACAGATAGTATGACACATAACGAAGATGCGTGTTTGGCATTATGTTTCAGTGCGGCAAACTTTCCACTTCAGTGGGGGATGGAATTAGTGGCCGCAGCCATTACTCGTGGAAGTACAGCGGTGTGGATACCATCACTTGAAGCTCCTTTATCGGCTCTTTGGCTTATACATCTCCTTTCACAAGAACAGAAGAAGAATAGGAGTAAGGATACAGAGACATTTCCACATGAGGCTTTAAGTATCATTTTATGCCGTGGTGATCAAGTTGTGAGGAATTTTATTCCTCAACTTAATGAAAACCAGAGAGTGATAGGATTGACAAATGGCTTTGGGTATAATGAGATAAACTGTAATTCAGGTTCATCTAAAATACCATCAGGATCAAATGATACAAACATAATGCAGAGATGCAGATGGCACCATCGAATGTCAAAATCCTCAATAGCCATTGTGGGATTAAATCACAACATTCCATCATCATCATCATCATCATTATCATTATCAATAACAACATCATTGGATGTTCAACAGATTGCGAAGCGTATTTGCCATGATGCATTCCACTGCAATGGACGTACATTACATCCCCTCCATCTCGTCTTTATTCCACAGGAACACATACTCTCCGTGCTGCGCGGTATCGTTCAGCATATACGCCAATTACGTGTGGGCCACAGTCTTGATCCCGCTGTGGATATTGGGCCACTGCCCGGCGCAGCACATCTTAACGCTATGAAGTCTGCTGTAGAGATGGCTGTCTGTTGTAGTGATGTGCATCTTCAACAGGTGTGCGGTGGATTTGAGTTGGCCATGCCAGCTGGGTTTTTCTGCACACCTTGTGTATTGTACGGGACCGTAGCGAATGTCCATACCGCAGCAGAGAGTGAAAATGCTATTCGTGTAATGTGTGTAAATATGGCGAAGATACGTTCAGAGTTGAATCCATACGGTGGAGGACCTCTGTTAGTTGTCTGTGGTTACAACCCACAAGAACAACAAGAAGGACTTGAGTTGGTACTTCATGACACCACAGAGTATGTGATTCATTACTGGTGAGAAGGTAATGCAGTGTACTTATTATCCACTTTATTTGTTTCTCATACATGTTTTTTTTTCTTTTTTTTTTTTACATTTCACCCTTTTTTCTATATATTTTGTTGTTGTTATTGGTTCTCTCTTTGTGGTTAATATGTGTTTTTTTTTTGTTTTGTTTTCGTTGCTGATATGATTTTATTGTTTGAACTCAGTCCCTCTCTGTTTTTTTTTTCTTTTGCTGATTTTCTTCTTAGACCGGAAAACAAGAACAATAACGACAAAAAAAAAATAAAGGGACAACAAGTATTAATAAAGGAAAACGAAATAGCCTTAGCAGATTAAAGGAAGAAAAACGGATTATATATTATTTCTGCTCCTTGGAAGAGGCAGTTGATTCTGTTATCAAAATTATTACTGATATTATTAGTGTCTTTTTTATTTTATTTTATTTTAATTATTTTGGTTTGATATTCCTCAGTAGATTTATTCCCCCTTAAAATAATAAATTAATGGGATTAGCTCCATCCCGTCGTCTGCTTTACTCTGGCAGTGATGCCCCGCTATGGTTTGTCAGTGCTCCTTCTGAACTCTGTGCGAATGAAAAGCATCGAGAACAGGATAATGGTCACACCTCTGCAGTGAAAGAATGTGTTTTGGCATCAACTGATACAAACTTACCACCTCCTTCCTTTTCGCAGCTGCGTCTGGTGCCTCTTATTAAACGTTACTTTCCATCATCCGATAGTGTTTTGTTCAAACAGTTATTAGAGGCCCGTAAACATCAACACCCTCGCTACCATTTCCTATGCAAACAGTTTTTACCACCTACAGCATATATTGACCCCACAGCCCATTACTATGATCTGGAACTACGGGAATCTGAAAAGGAATCTGTGGGAAATGAGGTATATGAAACCATATTACCGGCGACTAAGGCGCCATTTTCTTCTGCAGATGTTATGTATGAATTATTGGTGGAGAACACGGAGAGGATTCTTTTTGATAATGAAGAAGAACTTAAAGAAGCAATGCAAGCCAATATAGATGAATCTTATAATAATAATAATAATAATAATAATAATACTACTTCTAATAATGTTTCTGGTGGAAAATCCAATAGTGGTAAACACCGACGTATTCGTCCTGTGCCATGTGCTGTTCTCATACTACGCTGCCATGGTCCTGCTGTACAGGTATGGAATAATAACATTGCGTCCTTTGGTTTAGCGAATGCCGTAGAGGCAATGTCTCTTTCTCCTAGAGGACGAGATGCGACCGTTGTAGTAGAGGATGGACGTTCTTGGCTTGTATGGGAAATGAATGGAGTAAAGATGAGTGGTTGTATGGGAGGTTTTTACGGTTGTTGGACATTGGATGAACTTCTTCACTGTGGGAATCATGAAGATATGATTAAAAGCCCTAAATCTAAAATGATTTCTTCTTTTCCATACTCTTCTACAGGACCTTTTGGTCTTGTTGAGAGTAGTCTCATCGTTTCAGGATGTGTAGAACGTGATGTTGGAGAGCGTGAACAACCACATGCTTGGGTAGCCGCTTGTCGAGCTTTTTCGAATACCATAATAGAATCATTTCCGAATTCTCAATTACATCAAAATAATCAACATCAAATTCCACTACACCCTGTTTCTATGTTGAGGCAACTTGATCTAAGTTTTATTCCACTGCTTTCAAATATACCTCAGATGCAGTTATGTAGACAGGTACATCTCTTCATGAACATTATGGTGGATTTGGCACCAGAGATCCCAACACTGGCTAAACTCCAGATGCTACTTCGAGAACGTAATAACAAACAAGTTTCTGGAGATTCACGTACAATACCTTTTCAAGGAGATCTCAACAAGGAATATATTTTGGAAGCAGCAAATAATACTGTGTCTGGAGTACAAAGATATGGGGGAGATGAAAAACAAATGAATACGGAAGAATCTAATAAAGGGAATGGTGTACCATCACTGACACTACCTTCATCATCTTTTATATCACTGCAGGAAAAAGGAATTTGCAGTTACATTGCTGATGGTGCTGTGGTGTTGCGCCTTTCTAATGACAGAGTGGTTGAAGCATTACAAAAGTTATCATGTATCCCACTAAGTGATAGTACCGAAAGTATTGTGATGGCTCTTACTTCACGGGTACCACCACCATTACAGTACCGGGGTGAGCTTCGTCCTCCTAACGCGTATGATATGTGTAAAGAAAAGCTTTCCGGTGTGGTTCGTCGAGCAGAACCCTATGCTTCTGAAAGTCTTCTTCTTTCGTGGAGTCAGTTACAATCTCAGGATGTGTTTTCAGTAGGTCGTGAATTTGATGGTGTTCCATTTTCTTTTCTCATTGCCCCTGAATTACCACCAGATTTTACAGGAGGAGACGGAGGAGGCGGTGATAGGTCTAATTTGGGTACACAATGTCCTGTACCTCAGAAAAATCCAAAGCATTCAGCTTGTTCAGGACCTTTAAAAGTACCAAATATCTCTGTGTCATTTGGAGACTTAATTCGATGTGATCTTGTGAATGGTTGTTGGTATATTGATCGACAACTACATGCAGAGGATGTGGCATTATCTTGGATGCGACGTGTGGCTGGAAAGGCGCGTGAGTCAAGAGATTTGGATGAACATTGGTTGCGGTTTCCACAACAAGAGGGCGAAATAATGGATGAGGGAAATGAGAAGAACAGTGAAACAAGTAGTAATATAAAAGGGGTGATGGTACGTCTTGGACGCTTTCGGCCATGGCATGTGCAGCATGATGGTTATTCTTATTTTCATTGTATTACTCTGCGTGGAACTGGTCCACCACCAACAGATGCTGCTGCTGCTGTTACTACTGGTGTTGGGAAATCAACCGATCAAGGTGCAGAGGCATTTGTAAATGCTGGTACACCACGAGCACCTAAAAAGAAGAAGGGCAACACTACCACTACCAATACCACTACTACAATACCAGCCACGGCAGCAATAGCAAGAACAACAACAACAACAGGAGGAGGAGGAGGAAATTCAACAGGGACGTCAAGAACAACAGATATGATAGGCAACCGATATCCTACTTTTGATGGTGGAGCTATGGATAGGTACATGGACTCTTCATCATCGGCCCCAGTAAACTACTACCCCATGGACCGTCGAATGCCCCCCAGTCCACAGAATCCACCGACACTCCCTCTCTTCCACCGCCCACCGTCCTTCCGGCAGTCTCAATCGATGCCGTACCCGGCGGCGGTGGGGTCGGAGTCGCGGGAGGAGCCCACCCTCACCGTCTCCCGGCTGGTGGAGGGGTGGGGGACCTTCGAGATGGAGCGGGTGCCCAGCCAGTGCAGCAGCCCCAGTGCCCTCGGCCCCCGCTCCCATTCCCTGCATCTCCATCCACCCTCGCTGCCCTCCCCCGCCGGCACGCAACTCGGCGGGTGGGATACACCGGGCGGTGGCTCCCCCGCCGCCCCCGCCGCTCTCAGTCGCCCGTCCTTCTCATGGCGTGGATACTCCCCGCAGAAACCGGGAGGGACACCCACCTATAATAGTGCAGCTCCACACGTCTCTTGGCGTGTGCCGAGTCCATTCACCGTCTCCGCAGCCTCTACGATGAGTTATCCCTCCACGCGAGGGTCTCACATTGGACCAGTGCCATTCAAAATAGCACGGGTTCCAGTTTTGAATCATACAAGTATTACTGCAGGGTCACAGCCTTTGGTGAATGCGATGGAGAGCCCAGCATATTCAGGTATTAGTGTGGGTTCATTTGGTGGGGAACATGTGGGATTTGCAGTGACACCACCTCCAATTGCGAATTTGTCATCTATGGATATGGGACACTTGCCATCGTGTGAAGCACGTACTGCTCGTCCATCAGATAACCGCAGCAGAGACCAGAAACGTAAAATTATAGTTTCCATCAGTGATGTTGAAGTGAGAAGTAACAATAACAGCGATGAGAATGACGACAATGGTAGGAGTAGCGGAGGTACACAAAACAACAACAACAACATAAATCAGTATGACAGCAGTGGCAGCAATAATAATAATAGTAATAATAATGGTAATAATATTACTCTAACCAATAAGTTTTACCGTGAGAGACAGGGATCCACTGTATCAATCCCTGAATATGAATTGGAAAGAAGCAGACGTTCACCATATGATGCGCTTCGAAACAGTTCACCGGAGTCAAATCTATCGCTTGCATCCTCACCACATTCAGGAGTACGTTTGTACAAAAATAACCAACAACAATACCGCTGGAATCCTTACGGTTCACAACCCTCTGAAGAATGAGCCAAAAGAAAAAAGAAAAAAAAAATGGACAAGCAAGCATAGTAGAATAATATCAAAGATATTGAGTATTTCTCTGACGTATATTGTAACAGAAAAAAAAATCGATATGACCATTTGTGAGGCAAAAGAAAACAAAACAAAAAAGAAAAGAATGAGAAATGGTACTATTATTCTCATATATTGCTGTCAATAGTCAAATATAAGAAAGAGAGGTTTTATTTACTGAAAGAACAAAATAAAGAAAAAGAAAAAAAACAAAAAACGGGGTGGTACACTGTTGAATATTGGTAGAATGCCGTGGCATGGGGATCCTAGTGTGGACAACTGGATATATAAAGAAAAACAAACAAACAAAGAAAGAAACAAAGAACGAAGTGACAGACCACCAAGGTAAGAATTGGATGAGTCTTATATGAGTATGTGTCTCTTGAAGTAGAAGGGAATCGAGCGAAAAAAAGTAATTCTCAACGAAATATATAAGGTTTAATATATTGTTTTACTCTTCTTCTTCTTGTTCTTCTTCTTGTTCTTTTTATTATCATTGTTCTTCTTGTTATTGTTGTTCCATTCACATATTACTCACCAGATATATTATCTACATACATATGGTTATATACCTCTATGCATGAGAATATTTGCGTACGGTACTTTTTTTTTTTCTTCTTTTTCGCACTCAATTTACATTTCCCCCCAAAGAGTGTAAATAGATTATCTGAGTCTATGAAGGGTGATGCATTTCATAGATTTATATTTGTTATTCCTATCTCTCTGTTTTTCTTTTTTCTGTCACTTTATATTACCCCTTTTATTACTTTTCCAAACTGTTATTATTGTTATTATTATTGTTATCTTTACTCTGGCTTATGTCTTTTTTTTCGTTCTGTTTTCATTATCTGGGGGTTCCTAACTTCTACTATTTTTCCTGATAATGTATTGAGGGTAATCCAATCCTCGGTAAAATCATCTTAATTTTTCAACCTTGACAATAAGTGAATAGTGAGAGAGGGAGAGGCAGTAGTAAAAGTAGTAGTACTAATCGTACTGGTAAGATGATGACCACCGCAACAGCCTTTAGTAATGGAAATATAGATAGATACGGGATATGAATACTGTTTCTCTCTTTATTCCTACCCCAAGTAGGAAAGGATAATGTTTTTTTTTTTCCCCCCCTTTTTTTTCCTCTCTCTCTGTGTGTGTGTGTGTTCCCTCTTTTGCTGCTTCTGCAGTATGATGCCTAACTTCTACAACAATGTCTTTTTTTTTGTTTTTTTTTCGTTTCTTTTTTTCTTTTTTTTTTTTGTTTTCCCACACTCCAACCTTTCTGTTTGACTATGTGCGTTTATTATGGATGCCTTTGTTTAGTCGTTATTTTTGTTTTCCTTCTTTAATTCGTTTTTTCTCTTTTTTTTTTCTACTTTTTTTCCTCCAGTATATATACAATATATATATATATATATATATAATCTTTCTTTGAGGACGGAAAGAAACATATATGCATGCAACGGCATGCACTTTTATTAGTATTGTTGTTATTCTTTTTATTATTTACTTCAATGATAGTGTTCTTGTTTTAATTTCTATGTGATGATGAAGAAGAAGAAAGGAAAAATAAGAAACCACGAGTTTGAAAAGAATACTTTAGGTGAGTTTAACCACACTACAAAATAAAAAGAGGACTAAAAAAGAAATTGCATATATATGTGGTTATTTGCCTCTAAATTTCTTTTTCCAGTTTCTCCCTTTCTCTCCCTTTCTATTTATCTATCTGTCTTTATCTTTCTTTATCTATTTGTTTCTATTCATATATATATATATATATATATATATATCTTGTATATATTAACAGTGTCATACTTGCTGTATGACTGCTTCTACTTTTGTGTATTCTGTGAGAAATAAATCTATCTCTTTGAACCTTTTTTCCTTCTTTTTTTCTTTCTTTCTTTCCTTGTAGTTATTTTTCACATCGTGGTCTGTAAACACAAAGGGGCACCGAGTAGGGGGATTCCTTCATACTAACCCCTTCAAAGAAGAAAAAAGACGAGAACAAAGGAAGGAGGCATAAGAGAAGAAAAAAGAGAAGAAAGTTAAACATACAACCACAAGAAGGAGAATAACAAAATCAAAAATAAAAAAAAAAGAAGGTGAAATCAAACAAAACGACTCAAGGTGTATCCTTACAGCTACTGTTAGATTCATTTTCACAGAAAAAAAAAATATTTTTATATATTCCTATATATATATTTATTTATTTCCCTCTTTTTTCGTCCCCCCATTATCCTATCAGAGGGATTAAAAAAAAAAAGAAAAAAAAGAACGTCCCTTCTCCTCATCAAAATATCCTTTTAGAAGTTTAAAGAAAGAAAAAAGAAAGAGAGGAAAGGGAAAAAAAAAGAAAGTATATATATATATATACGCGTACGTAAACACTTCACAACTATACATACGTGGTTTACTGCAACACTGCAGATTTTTCTCGAGGTAGAGGGATCGGGATCAGTATAGCACTTATAAGAAGGGATTATTTATAAATAAGTACAACGACCTGAACGGGTACGTCCACGTGTAAACAAGAAAAAAGAGAAAGAAAAGAAAGAAAGAACCAAACAGAGAAAAAGAGCGAAAAAAAAAAAACAAAAGGGCACAAACCAAACACGATCAGTAGACCAAAGAAAAAAACAAAAAGAAAAGAAAAGAAAAGAAGGGGAAATCCAAACAAAACAAAAACAAAAAAACAAAGAAGAAAAAAAGAAAGAAAAGAAACGAGTATTTATGGGCGCCTTACCGAGTAGAGAGACACAACGGCGTGGGTTGTACAGTCACCGTCATGGGCGGAATAGACGAAACGAAGTCGTTCTTGTTCCCCTCACCGCCGAGTTCTTCCCGGATGCCCACTGTCCATTGTTTGAACGTCTTTTCCAAGCCCGGCATCACCGCACGGCGAAATATTATTATCGTTCGGTGCGGCCCACCAGCAGTGATTGGGAATCGGATTACTACTGCCAGACCACCGCACATGCCTACAATCTAGACTTAAATGACCCAGAGGGGGTAAACAAGGATGGTCTCTTTGAGACTTCCTTTGCTGACAGTATTGAGGGATTATATCATCGTCTGGTGCGAGAGACGGAATATTGTTTATGTGAAACCGATGAGGAATTGCGGCAACGATATATGGAACAATTAAAACAACAACGAGAGGAATATCAACATGGGAGTTATTATGAGTCATCTGGTTTTCCTGGTGGGGTAAAGGAAGAGGGTTTTAATGTTGGTTCCAATGCCTATCTCTCTGGATACAGAGATGCGATGGGATATGTGAAATGGAAAGAAAAACACACATATAAAAATTCTGGTGGAACACATGTAACTTCACCAGCTGCTTTTTATCTTCGTCCAGTTCCATGTGCCATTCTTTCACGTTTTGATCCTAATAAACCAGCTTCAGAAGAAGGAGTGGAATTTCTAGGATCCACTGTAAAAGTACTTGGAATGTTTGGTTTATTTCCTGCTACTATCCCCGTTAAAGTAAATGGGGAAACAGTTGAACAGCATATGTTGAAAACCACCATGTTTGTGGATAAGGATGTTGGAGATCAAATTCTTGGAAATGTTGTGATGCTTGGAGTACATATGTATGTTCGACAATGTATGGAAGCCCGTATACGAGCAACGGATATCCCAATGTTGCCCATTATACTTCGTGCACCTATATCTAATATCCCCATGTTACAATTTGTACGGGAAATGCGTGTTCGACTTCAGACATTACTGGATGCGGGTATACCAAGAAAGAATACACGATCTATGTATAGTGGTCTTAATGCTGGAAGTTGTAATTCTCTCTCTGGTGGGGATTCCACAGACGTTCATGATAATAATAATAATAATAATAATAATAATAATAATAATAATAATAATAATAATAATAATACTAATACTACTAATACTACTATGGGATGGCAAGAGGATATTGGGTTTCTCTTTGAAGAAGATATACCAAGTGGAATTTCTGAGAAGGAATTATTTATGGAACCTTCCGAACTCAAATGGTTAAAGAATCATCCCAATCAAAATACTAATCCAGATGGTGTATTGCCTATTCTTATGATGTCTGGCGTAAATGTACAGACCACACCACTGAAACATCCTTTGCTATTCAGTATGACACATGTACGTGTTCCAGCGTGGGCAACAGAGAGTGCT